AAGAAAAGAAAGAAAGTAAATTAGAGATTTTCCAAGAGCCAAGAATAGGGAACTAGATACAGGGTTTCTGTTTGGGGTGATAAAAATTCTGGAACTAGTTAGAAGTGATGGTTGCACAACATTGAGAATGTACCCATTCCAGGTAATTGTACCTTTTAACATGGTTATCATGCAGGCAGGGCCACAGTTTGGTAACCCTTACTCTAGATGTTGGAATGCTGTTGAAGAATTTTGTTTAAATTTTATTATGTAAATTTTACATAAGTAATATATGAATCTGCCATTGTAAAGGAATCTAAACAATACAGACAAAGCTCAAATTCTTTTTGTTCCCTCATTCACATACTGTTCCACTTTTTGGATAACAACTATTATCAATCAGTTATAATACTTCAGAGTCTTCCTTACTCCTTGTTTTATACTAGTTTTATATACAGGGTGGACATAAAGTTCATGTAAAATCTAAAATAGTTTAACACAGCAAATGGCACATAAACTTTACGTCCACCCTGTATAAGTGTACATATATATATTTTCTATTAGAATAACCTAGGCTGTTTAATATTTTTTACTTTGTTCCTTAAAAACTATTTAAAATGGTATATTTTATGTATATGTTACCACAATGAACACACACACAAAGTCACCTTACAGGGATGAAATCTCATAATATGTAACCGAGAGTTTATTTATTAACTTTTCCTTTCTCGAAAGTTTTCAAACACACAAAACACACAGAGAAAATAATAAACTAGCCTCAACCCATCTGCCAAAACTCTTGCTTCGTGTAACCGTTTTTGCTCTTGCTGTTGTTATCACCACAGTAGTTTAATGGAAATATGAGGAGTTTTACTCAAATTGAATCCTCTCCTAACCATTTCAAAGAAGTGATTCAAGAGGTGCAAGGATAAAATTTGCAGGACAAAGTTTTCTCCAAGAGTGATGGGGATAATCACCCAAAGCCAGCCCATCTTGCTGGGGATTCACTTAAATAGGCATGCGGGGCTTAGAACCAAGCATTGGGGTTACTTTAAAAATTCTGCAGAAGTCCCTTAAAACATAAAACATGAGGTCACCATATGATTCAGCAATTCTACTCCTAGAGAAATGAAACTACAAGTCCCTATGAAGACTGTCCACAAATGTTCACAGTAGGTTTATTTGTAATGACCCTAAATTGGAAACAATCCCACAGTTCATTAAAGGGTGAAAGGAGGAACAAACTGCGGTCTGCCCACACAGTGGACAACTAGTCAGCAACTAAAAAGAATAAACCACCAGTGCACACCAGAACGTGATGAATCTCAAATTAATTACTCTGAGTGAAGAAACAAGAGTCCAGTTTGCACCTATATTCAAGTCTTGAAATGCAAAGTAATCTAGACCGGCAGAGAAAGCAGATCTATGGTGGCCTGCAGAGGAGGGTACAGGAGGGACAATTACAACATGACCTGAGGGAACTTTTGCATGTGATGGGAATGTTCATTATCTCAGCTGTGACAGTGGCTTCACAGGTATACACACTTGTGAACTCATCGATTTGCATGCTTTACATTATGTGCTTTTACTATAGGTCAAATGTATCTCAAGAAGTCTTTGTTAAAAAACTTAAGACTGCACAAAGCATCAACCACAAACCAGTTATACCTAGCAGTTATTTTACAAGCTTCCTCTTGTTAAACGGATGAAATGAAAAAATACCTTTTTAGCAATTTAATTGCTGGGAATGTACCTCTTTCTTCTACAGCTAGGTGGTAAGTCTTTTAAGGAGTAAGAACCATAACAAGGGGATTTTGAGAGAGTTTTTATTAACATTTTAAACCTAAATTTAGATGTCTTAATAAAGACAGGAAAGCAGGCACTTTTATATAAAAGAAAGCCATGCCCTTCTGCCTCTTTGAAAATAAAAACTAAAATATCTGACAATCACATATGTAAACAGTATTTAATACCTGGGAGTGGAAAATCAGAATCTATCATGCCAGAAAAGACTTGAAAAGTCCCAACATTAGACAAAAATATATATATTTTATTGTGCATGACAGGTGTCTGATTCTTTCCCGGGTCTAGCTAATCACAGAAGCTCTTTTTTTCCAGTTAGTCCAACTGCCTGCTGGAAAACAAGATGTGCCCAACACAGCCACTCCTTACCTTTTCTCTCAGCTCCTTAGGAAGCTCCCCACTCAGCTCAGCACACTTCTCATATCTGACTTCCTTGCTTGAATCTGAACTTGAAAACCTGGTACAGAGATCCGAGTTATTTATATGGCAAAACAGAAGCTGTGATTCCTGTAGCCCACACACACCAGCACAGGAGCCCAAGGGTGAGATCAGCCCTGATAGTGTCAAAGACACACTGGCTGATTTTCTTTGAAAAGAACATTTCCTTTCCTTCCTTCCAGTTGCCAAAAGGGGAAGAACTCAGTGGCCAGAGCCTACCTTAAACACAGCATCATTGGAGTGGATGGAGCCCCAGGCTGGGGTGAAGACACAGAGCTGGTGCTAGTCCCAGCTCTACCCTGCCTCTTCTCTATGGCACTTGGTCAGGCTTGTGACCTCACCTGAGCCTCTGTTTCTTCATCTATAAAATGGGGATAATTAACACCTCCCGTCTCTTTTATAGGGCAGATAAGAGGCTAACCAAGGCCCTAATAGCAACATGAGGGCGTTCAGGGAAGAGTAAAGATGCCTCAGGACGGATAATTAATAGTTGTTGTTAGCAACCCATCCGCAGTGGGCTGTCAGGGAATGTGAAGGGCGGGTGTCTGTCTGCCTATCTGGGTGACCAGAGGCTAAGTGATTATCCTTCTTGGGGCCTCAGTTTCCCTACCTATAAAGGTGAATCTTTCTAGCCTGATGAGTTCTCTGATATAAATGCATGAGTATGTAGCACATATTCAATTCAGGGCTGGGGAGCTTTGAAGAAAAAGGAGAGGAGAAAAACTAAACCACTTAAAACTTTTTTTTTTTTTTTGTAAAAATATGGAACGCTTCACAAATTTGCGTGCCATCCTTGCGCAGGGGCCATGCTAATCTTCTCTGTATCGTTCCAATTTTAGTATATGTGCTGCTGAAGTGAGCACAACCACTTAAAACTTGACCCACACTCAGAAGACCCAGGGTCTGCCTCCCAGGAGGTGTGAGGCTGTGGTGTGTTCTTGCTAAACTCACACCCTCAGTTTTCCCCATCTGTCAAAGGGGGATAATCACACAGCCACTCCCAGGCACTATGATGACACAGTGAGAGAAAGCACGTGAGTGAGGTCCTTGGCACCGGTGTCCCTTTATCTGCTATCTTAACTCAGGGGTTCTCATGCCTGGCTGCACAAGAGACCTGCTTGTAAGCTTTGAAATATCAGCCCCTCCCCAGACCAACTAAATGAGAATCTTTGGGGGGGGGGGCAGCCACAGATATTTTTTCCAGGTGATTCTAATGTGCTGAGAGCCACTGTTTTAACCTGCCATAGTGGCTGCCCTGGTTCCCAGAGCCAGGAGGGCAATCTGCCCTGAGACCCTGCCCCTGCAAACTCCACCCCAGACAAAGTGTGTTGGTGGCATGCATGTTATTAACGAGCCAGTTGATTACACCTGGTGGCATCTCCCTGTTGTGGCCACTTGTGGAAAAACAGAGGTGGGCCAAGCTTAGAAAACCATTGTTAACCAACTGGTCGACAATGTTTGGCACTGCAGTATACTAGGGTTTTCCCGTGGGCGGAGTGATTTCCATAATCATCTCTAAGTTTGTACCTCTGTCCTTTAAGGAAGGTCTTAGTATTATTACCATTTATGAGATGAAGACACTGAGGCTCAGTGAGGGGAAGTGACCTGCCCAAATTACCTCGACCCCTCTGATTTTATACTTTGGGCCACACATAGAGTCCTAGGTCTTGTGGTAAGTGGTCTCAGACTTCAGGGAAGGAAGGCTTAGCTATGGAGATAAGGTGAGTTAGAATGACATCTGGCTTCAACTTCCTTGCCATCCTTTAGCTTCCTGACCTACATCTGTAAAATGGACACATACCCAGCTTCACTTGTAGGCTGCAGAGCTGAGAAGGGACAAGGAAACCAAGCTGTAGCTCCCCAATGCTGGCCACACCTAGACAGGGTGCAGAGCCCAGTTCCCTCTCCCCCTGGGGTTTCTGGCAGCTGGCTTGCAGCAGCCCAGGCTGAGGGAGGTGCATAGGAGTGCTCACTTACACTTTGGTCAAATCTGTAGACAGGGGCCGAGCCTGGAATGTCCTCCTCCTCATCTCCGGCTTCACCTCGGAGCTCTCAGCAGCCCAGCCTCTGACTCGCTCCTGGACACTCACACCCCCTTTCTTGGGCTCTGCCACTGCTGATGGGGAATCGGGGGTGGCCAAGGGGGGTCCAGGCCCCCCTGCCAAGGACATGGGCATGGCGCTGTCCTCCCCAAGCAGGCTGATACACTTCTTCATGCTCCCCCTGGAGGCCCATTTGCCCCCTGCAGGGGCCTGGACTCCTCTGTCAGCTGGCCTGACCTTGACCTCAGTGAGTTCTGGGTCTCTTCCTGGCCTACACGAAGGGGGCTCAGGTGCTTTCTCATGCTCCCGGGCCAGCTTGACTTGCTCTTCCGAAGGACTCAGGTCATCTCTCAGGACCACCCTGGCTGAAGCCCCTGGGGCCCTGGGGTTGCCCGTGTCCTGCTTCAAAAGCACTTTCTCCTGCTGATCATGCATTTTTCTGGCCACTGCCAGGAAGTCTGAATTCATGTTGCAAAGAGGGGGCTCTGCCTTGGCCAAACACTCCCTGTCCACCTTGGGCTCCAGTTTGGACCTCTCTGGGCCCCAGCGGTCAGCACTTGAGCCCACCATGGCTCCACTCGCCTCACCGGCCGCCTTCTTCAGCAAGGCCTCTTTGCTCTCAAACGGGGCTGTGAGGTCCATGGACAAAGGCCGGGGTTTCCTCACCCATGTCTTCTCCGGAGGGGTGGGCGGTGTTTTGCCCACGGTGGTTGCTCCCCCAGGGCCCGGCTTCTGAGGCTGGACAGCTTCGACAAAAATGTCTGACACAGGCCTCCTCTTCAGGCGAGGTCTGGGCTCCGAAGCAGGGCCCGCCGTGTCCTCCACACTGCTGGCCTTTGAGAAAGCCTGGCCTTGGCCTGCCGCCTCTTGGGCTGCAGCCGGCCTCGTGTCCTGCGGCAGGGAGGCTGGTCGGGGAAGGGTCCCTGGGGGCTTCCGGGTGGGCACAGCGGGCTTGGCAGCCACCTCAGACGTGGTGCCTAAAGGGGGCTCCTGAGACATGCCTGCCTTGGCCTCCTGCGTCTCCTCACTAACTGCCTTTCCTAGAGTGGGGCCAGTTTTGGTGGTTTCAAAGAGAATCATGGCATTGGGGCTGGGCCGCAGGAACACAGCTTTGGTGAACAGAGACGAGCTTCTCCTCGGTCCCTCCCCGCCACCCGCCTCCTGCCCCACCAAACCGGGCATCCTCTTGTCCAGGTCCTCTGCTGCCACCTCCTCAGAGAGCCCACCAGAAGGACACGGGCTGGGCAGACTATGCAGCAAAGACAGCACAGGGGGCTTCCCATCTGGGGGGGCCTGCTCCTTGGAGAAGGGCTTGGGGGAGAGCCTCGGCAGGGGGAGTAAGCGAGCCGGGCTCCTCAGCAGGCTCTTCCCTTCCAAGATCTGGGCTGAGGGAGCCCCAGAGGTGTCACCAGCCTGGCAGAAGTAAGTCCGCTTCAGGGTCTCCTCCTTGCCAATGTCACCGAGGCCTGGCACTGCAGTCAGGGACGCTATGGAGCCGACCTCGACCCGCGTGACCATGGTTATGGTTGAGGATCCATGGGGATTAAGGACATCAGGAGTGGAAAAGCAACTGCTAAAAAAGAAAGAGAGAGAGAAGAAAGGAAGAGGGGGAGGGAGAAAAATGCAAAAAACAGCTTCTGGGTGGGGGCAGAGTGTTTTAGGCAAATAGGACAAAGAGACCTGAGCCCCAGATTTGGATCACAGCCCTCCACCGACTTCACCGGGCAGGCTTGGGCCTGTCTCTCTACCTCTCTGAGCTTGGGGCGAGGGGAGTGGAGTAAACGGCTGTCTCTGAAGTTCGTCCCAGCTCAAAGGGTGTGGAAGAGGCTCCAACACTGGCTAGAAGGACTTTCCCAACTTAGCTAATCTTGAGGCCAGTTCTTATGATAACAAGTGATTGTCTCTGCCATACAGATAAGGAAACCAGCTCAGAGGCGAAATAACTGGCCTGCAGTTGCTCAGGAAGCAAGAGGGGAAGTCAGGGTTTGAACCCAGACCACACATGCTCCTGGCATGAGCTCCCGTGGTGTCCTCACAGTCCCTCACTGCTGCCACCCTAATTACGGCCCTGTAGCAGAGTCTACCCAGAACATAAGTGACCATGGAAGCTCCCACAGCTACCCAAAGCAGCAGTCCCTGGAGTCACAAGGAGGGTGAGTAGCCGAAGAGTGCATAACTCAGCCACCAATCCCACCAGACAGTCCCTCAGTCTCTTCTCCCCCACCCTTGCAGATGCCATTATAAAATGTTAAAAAACCATCTCATTTTTCTCACTAAATTTGCTATTGTTACTTGTTTGCCTCTAGGCTCCTTTCTATGGAAAACTTATTTTATGCTGGCTGCCTTCATATTGTTGTTTTAAATTTTACTTCTTTATTTACTTTTAAAGACAGAGTCTTAGTCCATCACCCAGGTTGGAGTGCAGTGGAATCATCATGGCTCACTGCAGCCTCAAACTCCTGGGCTCAACAGATCCTCCTGCCTTAGCCTTCCAAGAAGCTGGGACTACAGGCTTATACCACCACACCCAGCTTTTTTTTTCCACTTTTTGTAGAGACAGGTTCTCACTATGTTACTCACAGAGAGGAGGTCTTGAACTCCCAAGCTCAAGCAATCCCCTGCCTCAGCCTCTCAAAAACACTGAGATATAATCACAGACACCACATCTAGCCTTCGTATTTTTAATAAGAGAAGTGACAGCTAACAATGGTGGCTTAGCATGAGTGAGACACTGAGCTGAGCCAGGTGCTTTGGGTATTTTATAAATCCTCTCTGCTTTACAACTTTATCAGGTGGGTACAATGATCACACCCTATTTTGCAGTGGCTCAGAGCCTAAGCCCCTTTTTATCTAGCTATGAGATCTGTTCTATCAAAACAAGACTCCTTCCTCTCCATTAATCTTCATACAACCCAAAAGGTAGGAGTGTCATCTCCCTTAGGGTGGGGAAATGGCCCAGAGAGGTGGCCAGGCCTGCTTACTGTCACACAAGGGAAACCTGACCTCAGCTCCATGACCCACTCACTTCTACCTGTTTAAAGGTTATTTTTTATTCCTGTCTTGCAAGGTGCCAGACAAGTCCCTATTCTTGACCCCCCAGGTCCTCTTCACTCCAGTGTTTTCCCTCCCTGTAAAACTGCTGCCAGCCAGCCACCATCTAGAGCAGCGGTTCTCAACCTGTGAGTCGTGACCCATAGGAATAGTATTAAAGGGTCGCGGCATCAGGAAGGTTGAGAAGCACTGATCTAGAGGGACTACAAGAGGGGAAGGTATTTTAGTTAAGCACAAGCCTCCCGCTTCCCCTCCTAGAGGCCCCACACTGCTCCCCCGGCTCTGACTCACTCAGAGCCTCCAGGAAAGAAAGGCAGACAGATTTTGATATTCTCCCTCCCTTACATGCTCAATGGTGCTAACAGATTCCATCTCCCCAAGCCGGAGAACACTGTCTAGACTCGGTTAAAGGCAGAATAAAGGTACAGATATGGAGCAGCTGAGAACTGGAGAATTTCCATCAGCAAAGACCCCAGGCAGAGTTCTAAGGCTCTGAAATCCCATCCAGAATCAGAGCTATTCACCTCTAGAGCCGGCCCCTGTGACCTTTTGAAATCCTGCTCTGGGACACATATGTAGCCCCAGATGTGAGACACAGGACAATGACAGGATACAAAGGACAGAGACAAAATTCCCTGGCAGAACCCACAGGTACCGTCCACCCCCCTGGACACTCTAGCTCCCTGAGCTCAGCTCAAGCACCCACTTACCTGAGCCAGCAGGCCCTGGGTAGGGGGGGCGTGACTGCTGGGTAAAGCCAGCGGTGTCACATCTCATCATGGAGGGGGCTGTCAGCACGCTCCCATGGCAGAGCAGGAGGGGACAGGCAGGCTGTTTCCAGCAGGCTGAGTTTCAGCAGGTCTGGAGAGACACTGGACGACAGCCTCGGTTCCAGAGTTCTAGTAACATACAAACAGACAGCACAAAGGCACTCAAGCTCCAACTGCATCCGCTGGAATCTTCACCATCTAATAAAACTTAGGCTCCTTTCAGCTTTTTAATTATGTAGCCTTGTATATACACGTGCATAAATAGTGCTGAGTCCACAGTAGGTGCTCGGTAAGAATCTTCCCCCTTTCTCTGGGACACATTTATGAAGCACCTACCACATACACAAAAATGAGTGAGAACTAGTAAGAGATAGCCCCCACACCCCAGGGAACTCACGGTCTTCTACAAGAAACACACATACACAAGCAACTACAACACTGGGGAATACATATCATGGTTTATAATAGCACCAAATACAAAAGCATCGAGTGGATAAATAAATGTTGAGTGAATAAACAAACAAATGATGAAATATTCTGACCCCACTTCTACTCTTCTTAGATGCTGAGTAAGTCTAGGTTCCCTGAGTCTCACAGCAAATGATACTATGCAATCTGGAACGTAAGATGAGTTACTCTGGCTGTAGCTAACAGTGACAGAATCAAAGAGTGGGGAACTGCTCAGGTGGAAGCTCAACCCACTGATGCCCACCAAGGGACCCCCACCAGTCCCAGTGGACCACACAGAGGCGCACCACCCTAGGACAGGCCACGCCCAGACACCTTCTGTGACCACACTGACCTCACAGTCTTGGGAGCCGTCTGCCCACAAGTGGAATGAATGAAAGCTTCTCTCCATGGCTTCTCCTGGGAAGAGTTACCAAGGGCAACCATTGCTGAATTAGGATCAATGGCCCACAAATATCACCCCCCCTTTTAGGATCCTCAAACCCACTTCAGTGGCTATTCTTCATGGAAGGAAAGGGGGAATGACAAGAGAAAATAAGGAAAGTAAATCTTGGTGCATATCCCTCTTAAATAGAGCAGTGCCTCTGCAACCCATAACCTGCTTTATGTCTTGTCTACCTCTAGAGTTGCCATTTTGCATGACTAGCAAATGCCTGGTATATAAATATGAATCAATTAATAGGTCAATGAACAAAGGAAAGCAAAAGAAGTTCTTAAACCACCATAGCTGATGGTTGAATAATACTTTAAAGTCCTCCCCAACCCAAGAAACCTATGATTCTCAGGTTTTCATTTAACCTGTGTTATGATACAAGGAAACAAATTTAACTACAGGCTTTAAAACTTTACATGAATCCCATATGTCATGCTTGACTTAATAGATGTTAGTCTTTTCCAAAACATATTGGAAGCCCACTCATACTGAGGCCAGCTGCTATTTATTCCTTAGGTGGACTGGCTCAATTTTTTAAATAGTGTATCTGATGAGCACTGCATCCAAAACCAGGAAAGAAGTCTAAGCAATCTCTGATATGCATGTGTGTATACATATATATGTGTGTGTGTATATATATCTCTATGGATATATGTACACATACACACATCTATATACACACTTTGTCTCATCATGGACATCAGCATGTGGGACAGACAGGGAACAAGGCATTTATCTGGGAGGTGGGGGCTGTGTTGGACCAGGAAAGAGAGGACACCAGTACAATCACGAGCAATGGGTACAGCAATGAATATTTTTTTTCATTTGCTGAGCCTGCTAACTCTATAAGTTTGATCTCCCAGGAATGTTTACAAAGTTCAAAATTCCCATTTCCTGCCATTTTCATGCAGACTATATATATATAAAATTTGTCTGAGAAGGGAGTCACTCAGAGCAACAGGTGCTGCGATGACTGAGGAGTCATGGCAAGCTTTCATTCTTCCATCCTTCTGCAAACACTTCTTGCCTCCCTCCAAAACACCAAGCTCTATGCTTGGTACTGGGGCTGTAGCCATGAAGCTCGTTGTCTCCTGGGGAATCTAAGAGATCCACTAGAGAGAAAGCACTTCCATTCAAAACCAAACAATTTGGCAGCTTTTCTCCCAGTTTCAGAGGCGTTGATTCATTCTAACAGCTGCTGAGGTTCTTTCATAATTATACCCTTCAATCCAATCTGAGAGCTCACCAGCCGTTCACTAAGCTGTCTCTGGCTGCCGCCTCCTGGGAATGCCACCATCTGGTGAGGGGCGTGGGCTGGTCCTGACACTTTCCAGCATCTTCCAGAACATAACCTTGGCCCCACAACAGTGCAAACCCATCTTGTGCAGTGCACTGTGTGAAGTGCCAAGAATGGATTGATTGGCAAAGTGTACACTCATGTCCTCCCCAAGAGGCAAAGCTGTGGTACCCAGGCGATCTATCCACCCACAGGCCCCAGATGGAAATGGCCCAACCAAAATGCCAAGTGTCATTTGGTGCACAAGCATCCTCTCATCCCTGTCCTTGTGGCTGTAGCCATAGTCCCTTCCTCCAGTACACAAATATTGAGTACCTACTATGTGCCAGGCACTGAAGACACAGCAGTGAACAAAACATACAGAAACCTCTGTTCTCCATAGAGAGGTTCAAGAAGACTGAGAAAAGAAAATAAACAACATAAATAAGTGAAATATTTAGAAGGTTAGATAAGTGACAATAAAGGACAAAATTTGAGACTGATTGGATGACCAGGGAAGGTTTCACTGGGAAGCAACATTTAAAGTCAAAGTCAGGCGGGTCACCTGAGCTCAGGAGTTCAAGAGTGAGACCCCATCTCTACTAAAATTAGAAAAACTAGTAGGGTGTTGTGGCAGGTGCCTCTAGTCCCAGCTCCTCAGAAGGCTGAAGCAGGAGGATTGCTAGAGCCCAACAGTTTGAGGTTGCTGTGAACTATGATGACAACACAGCACTCTACCATGTCAACAGAGTGAAACTCTGTCAATAAATAAATAAATAATCAGCCTCCTTCCTGCCCCAGCTGGGGGCTCCTACAGCAGGGAGGAGCCTATTCTCCCAGCAGCAGCCAGAGTGATTTTGGAACATGCAAGCACCAGAATGTCTCTTCCCTGCTCAAAGCAAGAGTGAGACCCATCCCTACTAAAAATAGAAAAACTAGTAGGGTGTTGTGGCAGGTGCCTCCAAGTTCCAGCTCCTTGGGAGGCTGAGGCAGGAGGATTGCTAGCAGCAGCCAGAGTGATTTTAGAACATGCAAGCACTAGGATGTCTCTTCACTACTGCCCTCCTTTACCCTGAGGGGTAAAGATCAAACTCCTTCTCTAAGAACTGATGGGTCCCAGAGCCTCTTTACCTCTCCAGATGATTGACACCACCCACTTGTCTATCTCTCACACACACTCATATACTTCAGCATGATGAACTCCAGGCCCATCATGCTCTTCCTCAGCTTCACACCTCTGCCCTACCATTTCCTCATGGCCTGGCTAATCTTTATTCCTTTCTCAATTTTCATCACCACAAGGCCACCTCCTCCAGAAAGCCTTCCCTGGTGCCCCAGGGCTAGTTCAAGTGTCTCTTCCGTGTTCCAGTATCTCACTCCCTGTGCTTCCTCTTTGCCCAGCCCCAGGGTAAGGGTGGTGATTATCTCTGTGTCCTCCACTAAACTGTAAGCTCCTGACACAAGAAGGTCCCACAGCTGTATCCCTAGAATCTGACACCAAAATGGGCATTACGAACGTGCAAAAAAAGCACCTGAAGAGAAAACGTTCCTGGGAAAAGACAATGATAATATCCAGTGCAGAGGCAGGTATGGAAAATGGGTTTGCTCATCCGCTCCCAGGGACAATGTTGAAAAACAAATGCAATATTCACTTGCATCTTTTGAGACCCCTAAGGAGAGCCAGGAACCATACTAAGTGATGTTGTGTCTCTTCTGGCTTCTCTCATTAATCCTTGCAATACACCTGTGCTGTTAGAACTATTACCATCGCTCCACAGCCCAGAAACAGCCAGACTCCCGTCCCAAAGCCAGTAAGGGGGAGAGATCTTCTGATTCCAAATCAAGTATTTCCCCCCTATATCTTCATTCCCCCACCAAAAAACCCCACATTTACTTTTAACTCAGTAAAACTGAGTTTCTAAAAACTTATCCTGGCTCAGCGCCTGTGGCTCAAGCGGCTAAGGCATCAGCCACATACATCTAAGGTGGCGGGTTCAAATCCCCAGCCTGGGCCCGCCAAACAACAATGATGGCTGCAACCAAAAAATGGCCGGGCGTTGTGGCGGGCGCCTGTGGTCCCAGCTACTTGGGA